TACCACCACCATGATCTTCTTCAGAACTTTTCTCATCCTCCCGAACTGAGACTCTGTCCCATGAAACACTAACTCCCCATCCTCCTCCCCCAGCCCTGGCACTTGCCACTCCACTTCCTGACTCTATGGATCTGAGTCCTCTGGGGAACTCATGTAAGTGAAATCTTACGGGAGCTATCTTTTGTGACCAACACATTTCACCAAGCATAATGTCCTCCACATTCATCCGTGTCGTAGCAGGTGTCAGAGTCTCTTTCCCCTTCGTGGCTATATCATATTCCACTGTATGGATAGGTGACATTTTGTTCATCTGTTTGTCCATTGATGGACATGTGGGTTGTTTCTGCTTATTGAATCATGCAAATATAAACATGCATGTACATAATGATTTTTATTTTTTTAAGGTTTTATTTATTTATTCATAAGAGACACAGGCAGAGGGAGAAGCAGGCTCCTTGTGGGGAGCCTGATGTGGAACTCCATCCCAGGACCCTGGGATCATGACCTGAGCCAAAGGCAGATGTTCAACCACTGAGCCACCCAGTCATCCTGTACATAATTATTTTTAAATGTCACACGGTTTCACTAAGTTGATGATCCTATATAGCTGTGACTACATAAATCTTGGATCCCAAGAGCTGATCAGTCAACTCCCTGAGGATGAGAACCAGGTGACAATCCTTGACGTGTTCAGGTAAATGAACAGGCTGTACCTGTTAACTAAGTCTCCAATGAGAAACAACACACATTAAAAAAAAAAAGTGACAGGGATCCCTGGGTGGCGCAGCGGTTTGGCGCCTGCCTTTGGCCCAGGGCGAGACCCGGGATCGAGTCCCACATCGGGCTCCCGATGCATGGAGCCTGCTTCTCCCTCTGCCTGTGTCTCTGCCTCTCTCTCTCTCTCTCTCTCTCTCTGTGACTATCATAAATAAATAAAAATTTAAAAATAAATAAAAAATAAAAATAAAAAAAAAGTGACAGCCAGAGCTACTGAGGGTCTAGGTCCGGGCAGCCGAAGAGTGTGGTTAGCAAGATGAACAAAGATGTGCAGATGAGAGCAGTGATTAACCAAAAGTTGATAGAAACTGGAGAGAGAGAATGCCTCAAAGAGTTGCTGAGAGCTAAATTAATTGAATGTGGCTGGAAGGACCAGTTGAAGGCACACTGTAAAAAGGTAATTAAAGAAAAAGGACTAGAACACGTTACTGTTGATGACTTGGTGGCTGAAATCACACCAAAAGGCAGAGCCCTGGTATCTGACAGTGTAAAGAAGGAGGTCCTACAAAGAAGAAGAACATTCCTTGCTCAGCCTGCCAGCCTTTTAAGATTGAATTAGGTTGTGTTGTTTTCTGGTTTTATTTCTGAAAGTAAAACTTGCATAAATTAGGAATCAATTTCCCAAAATAAAATCCTTTTTTGTATTATGGTATACAGTTTTCAGTAATGATGTATACATTGTATTGAATTTTTTCCCTAAATATGTTATTTTAATAAATATCTCATGAATGAGAAAAAAAAAAAAGTGACAGCCAGGGCATCCCGGTGGCTCAGCGGTTTAGCACCACCTTCAGCCCAGGGTGTCATCCTGGAGACCCATGATGACCCTGACCCACGTCAGGTTCCCTTCATGGAGCCTGCTTTTCCCTCTGCCTATGTCTCTGCCTCTCTGTGTGTGTGTGTTTCTCATAAATAAATAAATAAAATCTTTTAAAAAATGTTAAAAATTAAAAAATAAATAAATAAAAAGTGACAGCCAGGCACCTTTACAGTTTGTCATAGCTTTGGGCATCCCAAATCCAATTTTGCCTCCTCCCTCCCTACCCACCATAGCTAATAATTAGCACACAGTTCAACACCTAATGACTCAGTGAAGCAATCAGTATAAACATCCGACGTCCTCCTAAAGGACAAAGTTCACACTGATACACAAACGGCTTCAAGAATTGTTTTTCATGTTGAAAGTGGATTTTTGCAAAGTGGAATACTGACAAAATGTCAGGGGAAACTTACAATAATGTTTACATTAAAAAGTGCTCTAAGATCCCATTATTCACCCAGCAAAGATCAAAGTTGAGGAGCCCCGTGCTGGCTCGGATGTGGGCAACCGAGCATTGCTGGTTGTTGTTGGCAGAAGTGTAAGCTTGTATAACTTCTTTGGAGGGGGGTCTGGCATATGTCCTTTGACCTAGCAACTTCCCTTAAGAAGTTTGTCTTTCAGATATACATGCATGTGTGGGCAAATATCTACATGTAAGAATAGCCTTTGTTGCACTGATGATAGAAGCAAAATATTGGAAGCAACATGAATGCCCAACAGTAGGGGATTGCTTAATTAACCCAGCACCACCCAGCAGAACCTTAGGTGATGATGGAAATTGCCTCTGTCTGCTCTGGCCAGTATGTTATCCCCAACAAATCTTTCTACTGAGCACTTGAAATGTGGCTAGTGCAACTGAGGAACAAATTCTGTTAAGTTTACACTAAGTTTAATTTAGTTGTAAATAGCCATGTGTGACTAGTGGCTGTGATATTAGGGCAAACCTACACAACGGAATATTTTGCAGCTGGGAACAAGAAAGGAGGATCTGTATGTACTGAGAAAAAAAAAAGTTTTGGGGTGCCTGGCTGGCTTAGTAGGTGAGGCATGTGGCTCTTGATCTTGGGGTTATAGGTTCAAGTCCCACATTGGGTGTAGAGATTATTTAAAAAATAAGATCTTTTAAAATAAGTATTTTCAAACTATATATTTTTTTAAATATTTTATTTACCTATTAATGAGAGACACAGAGAGGGAGAGGCAGAGACACAGGCAGAGGGAGAAGCAGGCTCCATGCAGGGAGCCTGATGTGGGACTGGATCCCAGGATCCCAGGATCATGCCCTGAGCCGAAGGCAGTCGCTCAATCACTGAGCCACCCAGGCATCCCTCAAACTATATTCTTGCACCAAAAAACCAATGTGGAAAGAGTACATAAGGCATGCTTCATTATGTCAATAGTCTCCCAAATGCATAGGACATTTAGAAGGATACACAGGAAAGTGGTAACCATGAGAAAAGAGAACTGATAAGGTCTGAATATTTGTGTCCCCCTCTCCCAAACTCAGAAGTTGAAATCGTAATCCCCACCATGATGGTATTAGGAGGTGAGGCTTTCAGGAGGTAATTGGTCAGGAGGATGCTGCCTCCATGAGGGGATGAGTGCTCTTAGAAGAGAGACCCCAACTGAGGGTCACTGGAGAGGAGGGATGTGAGGGAATGGGGTAACTGGGTGATGGGCAGTAAAGAGGGCACATGATGTCATGAGCACTGGGTATTTCTTTTTAACATATATGATTTTTTAAATTTATTTATTTATGATAGAGAGAGAGAGAGAGAGAGAGAGAGAGAGAGAGAGAGGCAGAGACACAGGCTCCATGCACCGGGAGCCCGATATGGGATTCGATCCCGGGTCTCCAAGATCACGCCCTGAGCCAAAGGCAGGCGCCAAACCGCTGTGCCACCCAGGGATCCCATGAGCACTGGGTATTATATGCAACTGATGAATCACTGAACTCCACTCTTCTTCAAAAAAAGAAGAAAAAAAAGAAAAAAAAACACCCTCAACCCGTGTTCGTGATGCTTCCGTGCAGGGAGGTATATGAGATCCTGGTGGTGAAGAGCACTGCACTGGAGCAGACTCCCTGGTGACCTCCCCTCACCTCTTCATCCCCCAGGTTCCACATCAGTAAAATCTGAAAGATAATCGTGCCTTAATCACAGGGTTGTTAAGAAATTTCAAATTAAAGCAAGTGCTGAGTATGTGTCAGTTATTTGTGTTCAGGGGGCAGGGGACCAGCAATGCGCTCAACACAACCAGTCAGAAAATGCTTAATACTGATATGTGCTAGGGAGGATGTAGAAGTGGATCGCCAGTGGTTGGTCAGGGAAGGGAGGTTGGTGCAGAGGCCTGAAAGAGCAGAAGGGGCCCTGCTGGGAAATGTAAGAGGCGGCATTCCAGGCAGAGGAGGCTGCAAAGGGCCTGTGGCAGAAGAAATCCGTGAGCTAAGTCAGAAAGACTGCAGAGGCAAGCCAAGGCCAAGGCCTGGATGGTGCTCTAAGTGGGATGTGTGGTCCTTGGATAGTTTTAAGTGGGGGAGGGCTTCTGGTTTTTTTTTTTAATTTTTATTTATTTATGATAGTCACACACACAGAGAGAGAGAGAGAGAGAGAGAGAGAGAGAGAGAGAGAGAGGCAGAGACATAGGCAGAGGGAGAGGGAGAGGGAGAAGCAGGCTCCATGCACCGGAAGCCTGACATGGGATTCAATCCTGGGTCTCCAGGATCGCGCCCTGGGCCAAAGGCAAACCGCTGTGCCACCCAGGGATCCTGGGCTTCTGGTTTTCAATAGCTAACTGGAACTGGCAAACCAGCACGCGGGAAAGCCCAGACATGAGGCTGGTACAGTGCTGGCGCCAGGTCACCTTCCAGTGGTCCCTGAACTCACCCCCTTCCTACTGCCCTTCCCACCCCATGGGCTTTCCCCTCTGGTAGCTGTATTTGCCCAAAGAGAGAGTTGGAAATGAGGAATGAGGGTCATGGGCTCAGGCCATCATCCTTCTAGAAATCTGTGCACCTCACACAGCTGGGAGGAGAGTGGCTTGGAGCAGGATGCAGGCAGAGGTGCTAGGGTCTGGCTATGCTTTGGAGGCTGAGCGATGGTATGTGCTGATGGATAATTCTAGAGGTACAAGGAGAGGAAGATAAACTCTTCAGCCTGAACACAAAGACACGGCAGAGATATTAACTGGGCCAGAAAGACTAAGGCAGGGGCAGCTGGAGAGAGGAGTGCAAATCACAGACAACAAATGTGTTCTACTGTGTATTATGTTTTTCAAAATGGTGCACATCCATGACAAAACAATCCGATGAATCCAGAATCCAGCTGGCCTGCTTCTCCAAAGTAAATGTCAATATTTAGGAGATAAAATAAGTCAGAGCACTGTTCTAACCTGAGACAGGAAGGAGTCTGAGTAAAGGGAGAGAAGGTTGGCACTTCCCTTGATAAGAATGGAAGAGGTCCTCCAGCCTGACCACACACATACATAGGTGGCTTAAGGCATGGCCACCTAGCTATAGTTTCTTCAAAGTCCTACCTCTGAGATACACTGGTAGGGAAAATCAATGTCATGTCTGCCCTGGCCCCCAAGACTGGCCCCCAGAGTCTGTCTCCAATCAGGCTTGGTGATGACATCACCAACACAACAGACGGTGGATGGAAGGGTCTGAGGGTGATGGTGTCACTGAGCATCCAGAACCAGACAAGTCCACACTGATGTGGTACCTTCTGCCTCCACCCAGGTCATCAGTATCTTCAGGGACCTCCAAGAGAAAGAAAGAAGCAGAAAAACATTAGGTACAGTGGAAGTATCACTTTCGATGAGATTGTCAACATTCAACATCACCTGAAAGATGTAGCGCTAGTACCATCTGAGACCACAGAACTCTCTGGAACCATTGAGAGATCCTAGGGACCACCTAGGCTGAGGACTGCCATGTTGACGGCCACTACTGTCATGATATCAGTGGAATGTCCAGCTACTTAAGAACTGGAAAGGAGGGGGTGCCTGGGTGGCTCAGTCGGTTGGGCATCTGTCTCTTGGTTTCGACTCAGGTTATGGTTTCAGGGTCCTGGGGTTGAGCCCTGCATCAGGCTCTGTGCTCAGCAGGGAGTCTGCTTGACACTCTCTCCCTCTGCTCCTCCCCTCACTTATAGTCTCTCTCTCTCAAATAAATAAATAAATAAATCTTTAAAAAAAAACTAGAAAGGAAAATGTTTCAATAAAGGATCATTTGACAAGAGAGAGAAAGAAAGAGAGGGAGTAGTAGGGAGGAAGGGAAAGGGAGAGAGGGGGAGGGAGGGATGGAGGAGGGAGAGAAGGATGAGGGAGAGTTGAAGCTTAAATCTTTATTGGATCCTGGTTCAAAAAATAAATTGGTATACAGACATTCTTGGGACGATTAGGAAAATCTGAGTGTAGAGTGGATCAATATCTCAGACACTCCAAACATTCTTTTGGATAACAATAGCGTTGTGGTTGTATAAGAAACCGCCCTTCTTAGGAAAGGCAAGATGAGGAACCACCCATTAGGGCTCAAAAGATGATGTTTGCAATTTGCTGTCAGATGATTGAGCTAGATAGATAAAGCAATTACAGCAAAATGTAAATTACTGAATCCAGGGGGAGGATTCATTATACTATTTATTGTATTATTCTTTCAACATTTTGGTATGTTTGAAAATTTTTATAAAAGGTTTGGGGAGATATGTACCCCAAAGTATAAAAAGCTTTTTCTCTGGATTTTTAAGGTGCAGATTCATGAAGTGTTTGGCACCTCTGCTTTGCTGCCAGCTGCTGGGCGACAGTGCGCTTCCAGAGGAGATTCCCATGCATGCTGTGGTGCATTGACTTGGATAATCCTGCAGAGCAAAGGATTTGGCCCAGTTCTTGCAAGAGCACCCCATGAGGAAAAAGCTTTTTGGAGGTGCCACCACTGAAAAGCAAGAGGTAAGGGGCGCCTAGCTGGCTCAGTCGGTGGAGCCTGTGACTCTTAATCTCGGGCTGGTGAGTTTGAGCCCAACGTTGGGTATAGAGATTGCTTAAAAATAAAATCTTAAATGAGCACCTGGTGACTCAGTGGTTGCACATCTACCTTTGGCTCAGGGTGTGATCCCAGGGTCTGGGATTGAGTCCCACATCGGGGTCCCCACAGGAAGCCTGCTTCTCCGTCTGCCTGTGTCTCTGCCTCTGTTTGTGTGTCTCTCATAAATAAATAAAATCTTAAAAAAAAAAAAAAGACAGAAACCAACTCCTCCTGGCCTTGGAGGTGGGGCTGGACACTAGTCACTCACTACTGTCAGGTATTATATTTATTTTGTATTCTTTTTTTATTATTATTTTAATTTAATTTTTTTTAATTTTGTTTTCTTAAAAGCATCCTTTATTACTCATTGATGACCTTCAATCATAAAACACCACCACTTTACTAATTGTTCAGGTCTATGCAGCTTTGTCTCAAGGCAGAAAGTAATATTTGGCTCTGTCTGCTAGTTCTGTGCCTTACACAAGACCCTGGTTCTCTCTCTTTTTTTTTTTTTAAGATTTTATTTATTTATTTGAGAGAGAATTATTCCAAAACTTTCAGGATTCTCTTATGGCAGGGAAATATTTGCAGGGAAAAAGTCTAAACTGTTTTCAAATATTTTTTAATGAAAGAAAAAGAACAGGGCCTCTTAAGAACTTTGTAGGTCCTAGACATTTTTACTTTGGATGCCACAACCAAATATTAAGCATTGCATATTGTATCTGACATTAAAAGGTACCCACATTTCGGGTTCCTGGCTGATTCAGCTGATAGAGTGTGAGACTCTTGATCTCTGGGTTATAGGTTTGAGCCCCACGTTGGGTGTTACAGATTACTTAAACACAAAAACTTTTTAAAAAATAAACAAAGTTTAAAAAAATTAAAAATACTCACATCAGATACAATTCCCTACTTCAGAGCGAGATGGATGTCACTTTGTATGCTACATTGTGTAAATTCTAATATTTTTATTTTTTTATTTTTTAATACTAATATTTTTAAATTCAAGCTTGTAATTTTAATTTTTTTAATTTTTATTTATTTATGATAGTCACAGAGAGAGAGAGAGGGGGGCAGAGAGAGGCAGAGGTGCAAAGCAGGCACCACGCAGAGAGCCCAATGTGGGACTCGATCCAGGGTCTCCAGGACCATGCCCTAGGCTGCAGGCGGCGCTAAACCGCTGCACCACCAGGGCTGCCCAAGTCTCTCACTTTAGTAGGCCTTGGAAAACCCCAGCAACTGGGCCTATAGACTTTCATTGACAATATGGCCCTGGAAAGAAAGAAAAATGAAATCTGATGACATACTACGTGAAATACAGAAAGTAAAAATCATTAGATATCAAACAAGATTTTTTTAATTATATATATTTTTAAATAAAGATTTTATTTATTTATTCGTGAGAGACACAGAGAGAAAGGCAGAGACATAGGCAGAGGGAGAAGCAGACTCTCTGTGGGGACCCCAATGAGGGACTCGATCCCACAACCCTGGGATCAAAACCTGAGCCAAAGGCAGACACTCAACCACTGAGCCACCCAGGTGCCCCCAAGCAATATTTTTTTAAACAGAAGCAATGACTGCTGGGAATTGGTAATGTCTCTGCAAAAGAAAATGCTAAAGGGGCACCTGGGTGGCTCAGTAGGGTTAAGAGTCTGCCTTCGGCTCAGGTCATGATCCTGGGGTCCTGGGATCCAACCCCATGTCAGGCTCCCTGCTCAGCGGGGAACCTGCTTGTCCCTCTCCCCCTGCCACTCCCCTTTCTTGTGCTCTCCCTCTCTCTCTTTCTCTCTCTGTCGAATAAAGAAATAAAATCTTTAAAAAAAGAAGAGGAAGAAAAAGAAAATGCTAAAGACCAAGACGATATGAAATTGATTGCACTGATGTTGAACAAGGCCAAATAACACTTGATCAGGGACTCAATGCAGGGATGGTATCTGCCTCCAAGATGATTCCAGTGGTCCCGCCTCCCTGGTATTCACACCCTGTGTCGTCCCCTCCCACAGTGAGCAGGGCTGGCCTTTGTAACCAACAGGATACTGTAGAAATGTAAGTAGGTGACTTCTAATGCTAGATCATGAAAGACACTGCATCTTCCACTGTGTATTTGCTTAAATGACTCACTCTGGGAGAAGCCAGCTGCCGTGTTGGGAAGTCACTGAGGCAGCCTTATTGAAAGATACCGACGTCAGCATCATCGTACCAGCCGCGTGAGTGCACCATCTCAGCAGCAGCTCCTCCAGCCGTAGGCAAGCCTTCAGGTAAGACATCATTACAGACCCAAACAAGAACTACTAGAGCTACATATCACTTGAATTCCTGACCCACAGAATCCTGCATGACTAAGCTGCTACATTTAGGGGTAATTTGTTTCACAGCATTAGATAACTAGTGTATCAGGTACAACTAATCAGTGTCAGCAGTGTGGCTGGTTGCCAGCAGCCAGTCCTAACTTGTCTTTCTTCCTTACAGAACCTCAATGTCCACTTGATTTAGGGATAGTTATCTCACCCCAGAGAAGGTCCCAGTGAGGCTTGGGCATTCATTGGTCACCCCATTCCCTGTGCTATCAAATGGCTTAAGAACAAGCATTTGCTTGATGTCTGGAAACACAGGAATGCTGTTATTTTAAAGCTTTCAATATTTTTGTGATTCTTCATTTGGGGCAAACTCTTGCTTTGAGAAAACACTTCTGTGAGTGTTTCAACCCAAAGGGAAAGCCAAACTTCTATTCTAGAATGAAGTTTGAAGATCAAGAACCTCAATTTCCTGCGAATTAATGTCGGCTTTGTCTTCCTTGTAGATGCATCTACATCTTCAATGTGGGTGGACGTTAGATGGTGTCATTGGAGTGCAAGGTAAGTCTTTTTTCCTTATCCCTGGCCCCAGTGAAGATAAGGCTTGACTCTAGACTTGGAGGACAACCAAAAATACCCCTCTAGGGCCAAAGAAGAATGTCAGGTCAGGACCAAAGAGAGAGATGACCTCTCAGAGTGCCCCAGGGGAAGAAAATCACCTGGGAGCATTATTATCTGCAGCATACAACTGTGACTTGTCTACTCTGTGATTTCTTTTTACTACCTCTTCATCTGACTTAAAAAAAGAAAGAGGGTGGGGGGAAGCAACCACCAGTGAGCTGTAATAAGGAAAGAAAGAACAGCTGGGTCCTGAGGCAGGCCAGAGAAAGTCATCAAAGCCCAGAGAAGCCACATAGAAGATGGCAGGAAGTCATGGGCAGAATGCCCCAGAGCAGTAGGATGGCTGTGTGGCAGGTGACTATGAGCACAGACTTGTGGAAAGTGTAAGCATCCCTTAGAAACTTAGGGAAGGGGGGCACCAGGGTGGCTCAGTGGTTGAGCATCTGCCTTCAGCTCAGGGCATGATCCTGGAGTCCTGGAATCAAGTCCCATGTCAGGCTCCCTGCATGGAGCCTGCTTCTCCCTCTGTGTGTGTGTGTGTCTCTCATGAATAAATAAATAAAATCTTAAAAAAAAAAAAAA